TAGCTCTCCACCGCTGTCATCAAAACACCAAATGAGGGAATGTCTGTTTGACAAATGTTCGTCCCTCCATTAAAGGTCCAGAAACGTGGAGTATTAATGCAGAGGTGCTTTAAAACTGTTCTGGTGGCCCAACAACTTCTATATAAGCTCAGCTGCTTTTCAGCCAGCAGGTGGCGTCACAGCACACAGTATAGAACCAAGGACGGCGGCTGTAAATTCCACACATTAACAGTCCAGTCTGTACGTTTCCTTGTTTTTTTTATTTTGTCAAACATTTTCATTGAAGCATTCGTTTTACACGTAAGAAAAAACATTTCAAAGAGTCAACATGAGTCAGACTACTAAAAACAAGACATGGGTCCAAATGTTTCCAGTGTTTTTTTTTTCATTTATTTCACCAGCATAGTTGGATTTGGGCGCAAAAAATCTGCTCATGTTGGAAAGTCACACCGAGCTAAATCGAGCGGCGAACCAATGAACATCAACCGCATTTCGACCCATGTCCGCGCCACATATTTTCTACGACACAATCTTTCATCGGGATTATCAGAAACGGAGAAGCACAGACCAAAAAACATCCAACATATCGTCAGTTACTGTACAGATAGTTCACTTAATCGATAAAAATACACAGTTAACAGGCGTCGACTGGGCCCGCGAAGCTGCTCAGCCGTCGTGAGAAAGCATCTGTTTACTTCACTGTATTTTCAGTTGCATGCATGCATCACACGAGTGCTTCGGAGTGTGTCAGATACTCGAGTCGCTCTACGCGCCACGTGCAGGGTTTTGTCTGCAGACCGGTCATGATTTTCCTAAAGTGAAAACTGAGGCAATCACAGGTTGCACACTGGCTGAGGCTGAAATGGAGAAACCGCCGAGGGTTCGACTGTGACAGAATACATTATTATCTGAAATGAGGCTCGCTCGCGGTATAATTTCATTGTCCAGAATTTAGTCACTTTCCTGGTTGTCATTGCAGCCGTAAAGGACAGGAAATTGTCGATTAGTGAGGCGGCGGCCGGAGAGCAGCCTGCAGCTCGCTGACGGTTATTAGTTTCCAGAGAAGGTGGGAGTCCATTTCCCCAGAGCCGCAGAGATCACAGCGACTTTTATGACTTTATTTTTAGCTTCACCCTGCTCCTATTTATCTTTTCAAGTTGAGATTTTTCTAAATAAATACATCAATAATAGTCTAATTTTCTCACTTTGCTTTGCTAAAGTGCAGCGATTTTAACTGTTTTAAACACTGGAGCCGTTTTTCCCACTGAGCAGTTTTTAAAAAATGGTGCTTCAAGTTTGTACGCTTTAAACTGGAGCAGATTTGGCTGCATATTAAGTAGTAATTTCAATTTTTTATTTTTATTTTTTAATTTTCCTGAGCCGTCTTTCCCCCCCTGGCCATGTTATGGTGAATGTGTTGGCAAACAGCTTCTTTTTTATGGACAGAGAACAACGTTTTCATTGAGTTCTAAGGAGGTTTATTGTACCTGACAAATTTTAACCAATAAACCCAGTCAGATTTTGTTGTTCTGAAAATGTTCTGAGTAGGTTCTTGTAATGTTTTAACATCATTTAACATTATTAGACCATTATCTGAATGTTGCACTGAGAACATCCTTCCTTTCCTATCATGTAACATTGCAGGAACGTTCTGGAGAAGAACGTGTTTCTTCAATAACATGCTGAGAAATTTGTAGGCAAAAATGTTCTACCTTTGTTAATATTACATTTTATTTAAAAAAAACAACAAACATTCATCTGAGGCCTTGATAGCTTCTGGGAAACGTTTTTATAATGTTGATTTAAGCGCATTCCTTCTTTGTATGTGGCCTTGACACCTTCAGGCATCCTCTGAATTTTGCACGTAAAACATTATGTCATACTTAGCTTTTAGCATTGTAGGAACATTATTTGAAATCATAAATACCCCTGAAACCATCTTTGAACATTAGATTAAACTGTTGTCTTCAAAACATTTTAGAACTGGTAGTTAATGTTTATCAATGTCATGGGAACATTCCCTGCTAACGAGGAGCGTTCGATTTTTAGCTCTGTTTTTGGTCTCCACCACCTCCTGAGGAGAACACCCGACTGTTAAAGGCTCACAAGCTAACTAAGTTTGCATGTAGTGCATAAAATGTGTACAGTTGGTTTATTTCTTTTCAAAAAAAGCTGCTTAGTGTAACTTTACTTGTTAGTTTTCAGTGCTCTGAGCATCATACACAAACAGAAATCAGGTAAAACAACCCTTTAAAAATTGCAGATATCATTATCATTTGAATTCCAAAACTGATTCTGACTGTTAATCTTAAAATAACCAGTTTGACACTTACATGTGCCTTTTTTTTTTCTCTTTAGTGCTCCAGGGTGTAAAGACCACAGTTTATATCAAAGCTCTGCCTCTCATAAATTTACATTCGGTTAAACGTTCACTTAAAGTGAAGTATCACTTCTCGTGGCACTTTGCCAACAGAGAAGGCGGCTTCATAAAGTTAAGGTTCATTATAATTTGAACAGCATCATCTTTTTTTCCCCGGCGGTGTGAAATTAAACAGACATGCATATTACAGCGGCCCGGGAGCAGCGATTCAATTTTCCCCACAGTGGTCGCCATCTGAAGACATGAATTAAACGCTGCTAGAATTAGAAATCAAATTAGGGTCCGGATCCCCGCAGGCCCAGAGGTGGCATGTGGTCAACAGTCGGATGGATATGGAGTCTGCACATTTCTAAAGCTGTCGAGTTTGTCCCGTCGTCCTCTGATCTCCGGCTGATGTCGGGACGAGAAACACCAAAACTCCCAAACGAAGAGAAGGACGACTCATTTTGACACGAAACACACAGTTCATATCGTTTCACATGCCTCTAAAGACAGACAAGGAAAGTAAAGTGACTTTTTACTTACAAGCAGGAACACCAAGTCTTTGACAAGGATAACAAATGCACTTAAAGGAATATTTCACCTTAAACTGAAAACTCTGTGATGAACTGCCTCACCTTTACGTCATACAGCCCCCAGAAAAAGTATTCATAGTTTTCTCCTTTAATTGCTTCACGACATGATATCGTGAGCATTTAATTTGTCTCTTTTGACAAGAATTTACAGAAAAAGAGACTCTTTTGTGTCAAAGTTGAAGCAGATTTCTACAAAGTAGTGGCAATTAATTAAATATGTGAAATCTAAAGTAAGTGATTTGGAGGAGTCGTAGGTGTCCTGGTGGCCTCCCTCACCTCACTCGTCTCTTTATTACATGGTCACTCGAGGATGGCCTTCTCCAGCCAGATCAACCCGTTTACCATAATCCCTCCATTGCTTAATGATGTATTTAAAATGTAAAATAAGTGATCTTCAAAGAGACTCACCTACTTTAACACAACTGCAACCAGTCGGTGCCAAAAGTCACACAATTACCAGTGAATGTGTCTCAGTGGTTGTAATGTAAAGACACATGTACGTGGAAGGTCCAGTCAGTGCTGCTGGATGGAACCACACCATGAAGACAAACTCTGTCAAACGGTTATTCATAATTAGAAGTCAGCAGACGGATGCAAGAAAAGTTCAAGTCACTGAACATCCCTCAGGGTACAGTTAGGTTCATCATTAAGAAATGGAACGAATATGGAACATGTGTAAATCTGCCTGGAGCAGGTTGTCCTCAAAAACTGAGTGATCAAGAAAGAGACTCGTGAAGGAGGCCACCAAGACACCTACAAGTCCTCTGAAGGAGCTACAAGCTTCAGTGGCTGATATGGAAGAGAGTTGCCTGATCTTCACCAGTCAAAGCTTTATGGGAGAGTTGCAAAGAGAAGGACACGGTTGAAGAAGAGCTCATAATAAATCTGGACTAGAGTGCAACAAAGACTAGTGAGGGAGGCCACCAAGACCCCTATGACTCCTCCAAATCACTTTTTTTACATTTTCTATTTGAAAATAACTGACATTACTTTGTAGAAATCTGTTTTCACTTTAAAACTATAATTTCTGTACATTCTTGTCAAAGAAAAGCCAAATTAAATTGAGCATCATTTGATTGTTGAAAAGCATAATTCTAATGGGGGTGAACACTTTTTATATGCACTGTATAAACCTCTGGTGAAAGCTCCCTCAGTGTCTCATCTACAGCTCAGATAAGAGCCTAAAACTGTTTACATCCAAGAATGTGACGTATTATATTTTTTTAAAAACAGTGTTTTAATAGATGCATTTTGCCTTGTGGAACTTGAAGTGCAGTATTTTTAGTCTCCAGTGTTTCTTTCGCTTAAGTAAAGGATCTGAATGCTTCTTACACAACCACAGATTTTTGTTTTTCTTCCAGTCAGATGTTTGTGTGTGGGCCCACAGAGCAGCCATCTGATCATAAACTACATTGATGGTGCTGCAGTAACACCGGACACACACTGCTTTTTAATCTTTTTTTTTTTTTGGAGCTGTAAGAAAAAAAAGAGGACACAAAGGAACGATGGCTGGTGACCCAGAGGTGAGCAGGTAATGACTGAGTTTTCATTATCGAGTGAAATATTCCCATTTGAGTGTGATGAAGTCGTATCTTGGGAAGCCATTAGGTGAAATTTGAAGAGATTTTCTTTTAAGCACTCAGTCCAAGGTCCCTGTGACTTTGCGGAGGAATTCACATGAAGATGAAAGACGGCCACAAAGCAGCATTGTGCCGTCTGGGGAGGCTTCTCCATCCTGCGTGAATTCCTCCGACAATGTTCGGTCTCTAACCAGCGTGCTGCAGCTAGGGCTTCTTGTCTGCATATGACTGGCTGGTGGCGGTGGCGGCGGCGGTGCTGGTGGGGAAGTCCGGGTACACCAGGAAGCCGGTGAAGGTGATGTACTTGGCGTGGTTGCTGTAGGCCCCAAAGCCGTCTCTCTGGTGGGAGTAGAGCCACACCGTGTCGCCCGGCTTCAGCGACAGCATCAAGCTCTGGCTCTGCAGCGCTTTCTCTCCCTGGCTGTCGTCGTAGATCATCGCCTGCACCTCCAGACGGTTCTTCATCAGCTTCACCGACAGCGTCTTCTGCGGCAGCTTGCCCACGTTGAAGGAGAAGTAATAAGCTCCGGGAACCCGGCAGGTGAACACCCCCTCGGTCACGTTGAAGTCCTCTCCGATGTTGACGAAGGCCGTGTCGAAGCTGACCGGCTGGTGCTGCGGCAGCCCCACCTGGTCCACTCCCACGATGCTCTGGGTGCGCCCCACCGAGAAGGCAGATCTCTGGTCGTCTTCGTCGTCCTCCTCCTCGTCCTCCTCCTCTTCCTCCCTGTGCTGCAGCTCCTTGTCCTCCTCCTTCGCCGCCGGCCCGGTGTTGGCCTGGTTGCTGCTCGGCGGGGCGATGCTGTCCTGCAGGGGCTGCTGGGGGTCGTGGTGCGTCTCGTGGTGGTGCGTCTGGTAGTCGTAGGTGTCGGGGTAGACCAGGTACCCGTTGAAGGTGGTGTAGTGGCCGGTGTTGCTGTAGAGAGCGTAGCGGGGGTCGCCATGGAGACGCAGCCAGACGGTGTCACCGAACTCCAGCTGCAGCATCACGCTCTGGCTCTGCACCTGAGGACGGAGGCAGGCGTTATCATCCCGGCTACAGAGCCGCATCTACGCCTGTCGTACATCGAGGCGCCGACACCAAACACATAATCCAATCATGTACCTCACACAGCTCCTCATTCAGGGGAATAATCCCCTTTGTTCTGCCTTCACTCCCCACCTCAGCACAAACACACCCTCTGTAAGGAGACCCGCGATAAAAGGCCGCTGTAAACACTTCCTTAGAGAGGAAAATACATCCTGAAAGAGAGCTTAGACGTTATTTGAACCGGAGGCTGAGGAACCTGTCTAAAATCATCCAGCCCATCGTATTGCTTTCATGCCAAGACTTTGGAGAAGCCAAATACAACTATTGTGTGTTTGCATTACAGGGTTTTTCCTGGAGGAACGCAAAGAGGCTTTAGCCAGTGTCTCAGTGATAATTGAGGAATAAAACCATTTTTCTCACACACTTTTGTTTATCAAATGATGAGAAATAACAAGAAAATGCACAGATTTCTGTAAAATCAGGAAACACTTACTCATTGCCTTCGCTGTGCGTGGACAGATCATGCTAGCTGTTGAGCGTAGTCACAACTTAAAGGTCGTTCTGAGTCAGGAAAACCCTCTGGATTAACTATAAAGCGAGCAGTTAGCCTAGCGTGGCACAAATACTGGAAGAAGTTCAAAAATACACCCACCAATGCTGCTAAAAAAAAGGCAAATTTCCAAACATTTTTAACTATTTCTTTAACTCAAGAAGTTTTTCCACTTCTAAAGTCAAAGGATCATGAGGATGATTTTAAAAGTAAGTGGTCAGTTTGTTGTTATTCCAACATTTAGTCGGATAAAGCATCTGTTGTGTCAGGAGAATTTGCACTAACTAGTGATTTGGGTTTTTTATTATTTGTATTTTAATAACTCTAAATCTCTTGATTCCAGTTTTTAATGATTCCTCATTCAAATTCTTTGAGTTGCGAGTGATTCGGGGTGCTATAACTGTAAAATCCTGCATCGTAATGCCTCTGCAGTAATAATCTAAGTGAGACAATGTGCAGTGTTATAGTTTCTAGAGATATTGTTCTGCATTGAGTGTGTTTGTTGTGTGTGAGTGTGTCTCTCCCTTTGTGTGAAGCAGTAACATGTTGCTGCAGCAAAGTGTTGCTATAGAGGCAGTAGAGTCGCTTTATTCAGCTGTAAGTTGCCTCAACAGTCAGGATGGAAACTGAAGGTCTGTGTTGTGTTCGCCGTCACAGAGGAGGAACAAAGAGTCGCTGCTCGTGTTGTGTTGCTGCTGCTTCCTCCTGCTTTTCTTCACAGCAGAGTCGTGTAACATGCAGCCGACCATGAATAAATGCAGGCAGCAGAAACACAGCGAGACACAGTGCTTTAACCGTGGCCTCCTTTCTGCTTCTACATTTTACAACAGTCCAGTCCTGTAATTATAAAGTGTTTTGGAAACCACATTTGCTAAATTGAGGGGATTGTTTTGAGACAGTTTGTGCCGTTCAGCTGCTCGTCAAGCAAATCAGCGACAGCCGAGCAGGTTGACTGAGAGGCTCAACTCACTAAGACAAACGAGGACATGTGCACTTCAACTCACATGACGGCTGCAGATATTTGCAGCAAACTGTTGATTTGAAAGCACAGCGAGTTAAATTTGTTTTTGTGCTGAATTGAAATTAAACTTTCTCAATAATTTCTTTGGAATTTTGGAACCGGTTCTGTGTTTAATGATGAAAATATGCAACACTAAATAATCTATCTGCTCCATCTGTTGTTTTAGGACACCTTTCACTTTACAGTGTTTTAAAATGAAAATGATCTCCATCCATCCAAGCATTTCAGCACTATTTCTGATATAGCCTCTGTATGTGCCGTAGCCAGTGTATGATACAAACATGCCTGAAAATATCCCATGATCATTCATGTGGGACATATGGGCACCAGTGGATATAAGAATCAGAGGTGTGGCTGCTTAGTTGTAGAAAATAGAATGAACAGCAGTATTTCCATTTGTTTTTTCAAGAATGTTCCCATAATGTCTTGCTGTTATTGCACAATCCTGAGGAACTGTCACGTTGCACTTCATTTCACATTTTCTATGTGACACATTAAAAACTCTTGATGCCTGAATCTTTAATTTAATAGTGAAAAGATTCCTTTAATTGCACAAGATCAGAAACACCTGTAATTCATCAGAATGAACCAGAAGACTCAGAGAGGGATTAAAAAGTCTCTGTTTCAGTGTGCTGCTATAGCTCACCTGGTTGAGCTGGCGTCCCATGTGCAGGGCTACAGTCCCAATGTGGAGGTCATGAGTTTGAATCCTGCTCATGACCCTTTCCCACATGTCCCCCCCCCCACTTTCCTGTCTCTTTCTGACTAACACTATCCAATAAAGGCACAAAGGCCAAAAAAATAACTTTTAAAAATAGTCTGTGTTTCTACCCGTCCAGACTGAAACTCTGCCCCAGAGTTTGGAAAACTAAAATGTTGTAACCACTATTCCTAAAAGTCTCCACACTCGTCCTAAAACTCACCAGTAGTTTGGACGCCAGGCGTAAACAAAGCACAAGTTTTAAAATGAAAA